TATGGTGCCCATAGCACGGATGACATCACGCGGCACACACGCCGCCGGTTCACCAAGATGCGGCCGCATGTTCATGGTGATGCCCACTTGCGCCATGCTTTCGTGGCGCATGCAGATGTCGTACATGCGTGCCAGCAGCACGAGGTTGCCGCCGAATTGTGTCCGCGGCACACGGTGCAGCAGGTGGCGACAATACGCCGGAAAAGACATGCCGCGGGGGCGCTGACCAGAAAAGCCGTACAGGAAGGACTGGGGGAAGCAGAGGGTGAGGATGGCGGGATGACGGTCATCCAGCACGTGGCTGTCACGGCCACCAGCCGCAAACGCAAGCCGTGCGCGGCCAGTCAGAAGGTCCTCCACTCGGCCTGGGAAGCGATCGATTTCGCTGCCATCATCGCCAACATTCGACGGCTGTGGCAGGATCAGCTCCAGCTCGTCCAGAGTGGCAGCTGTCGGATCGACTGCATGATCAGACGACAGATGCGCAAGAGCTGGGTCAGGATGCAATTCACGCTGATAGCATGGTGCAGCAACGGCGGTAAATGCAGCATGGTGTGTGCATAGGCTGGACAAAAGCGAAATCGAAGCGTCTCGAACGCGTTACAAATGAGCGAAGATGTGTTAGCCCTATGCTCAGCCAAGCAAGAGAATGCACGCACCTGGTGCACCTTCAACTGGCTGGTCGGCAGGTCCACGCAGGATGGCGGTGAATGGCCCCGGTCCAGGGTCATGCCCTGCACTCAAGAATACATACAGCGGAGTAGTAGGATACATCACTAGCAGGACAGGCGAGGGTGCTGCAAGAGTCCAGCTTATCCAGCGGGTCAGGCTGCGCATCGAGATCAGTCAGCACAAGAGGAGCGCACTCTTGACGCACGGGGCAGCGGCGGCAGCGGCTGCCCGGTGCACAAAGCGCAGTAAGAGGGCAACACGAAAACAGAGGGCACACAACAGCTCGCATAAACACAGCAACAAAAGAACATACCTGCATTCGGGGTCGGATCCGCCAGCGTAGGTTGCACGGGTCCTGCAGGATCCACGTCAGGTGCCGCAGCTGCATCGGCAAGATTGCCATCACGAACAGCCGCTTCCACCACGTCCTGGAACTGCCGCACACCTGCCGCACCCGTGCGGTCGTGCAGGAAGGTGGTGCGGAGGACGTTCGCCACCTCCGGATCCGTAGGCGCAAGGGCGGCATGCAAGATTTCGTCCGGCACGCCTGCAGCACAGCCCATGCGCTCATACTCCTGCAGAGCATCCTCATCGATAGCCAGCTCCTCCTCGTCGTTGTGCTGTAAGAAACGGACCCAGGCGACGATGACCTGCCCTCGCACCTGTAGACCTGGCACCTTTCGCACGCGTTCCAGCAGCTCCGCCCGGCTGTGAACCTGGTCGACACACACGACCGTGATAGCGCCGGCCAGGTCGGACGCCCGCGCCGGCAGCTGTCCTCGCAGCATATTCGGGTCAGGATTTACGACCCCAATGCCGTGAGTCTTCACAGCACGCGGGAAGACGTCCGGCGGTCGGTCTGCCAGGTACATGATGAGCAACTGCTGGATGATGCGGCCGCGGCCCAGAAGCTGCCCCTCCAGGAA